GCTGTGAGTTCGCCGTCCTCCTATTGGTGGATTTTAGACGAGCGTCGAAGCAGCGCTCGCACTCTCTCACACTGACACAACTTTGTCGTCGGCCATCTTAGGTCAGAGTGGTACTCGATCAACTGATTTTGACTCACGAAACAAAGAATTATTATTATTATTTTTTTTTATGATGTGCGATTTTTTGTCCGTCGCAAACAGGCTTTAGGAAACCTGTGATTTGGGAACTTTCCCTACAATGGATCTTGATAATTTCTTTATTTTAGCCTTCTGTTTAAATTTTCTGGCCTTTAAATAAGCTCCGCCCCCAGTTGGACCAGAGCTATTAAGCCCTGTCTCCTTTCTGAAAAGGAAGCTAGTGTGTTTACATGCACAGTAATAACGCAATGAATTGCTGATTGCTACAGTTACTAAGTGGTCGTGTAAACATCATACTAAGATGAACTCTTTAGGATGATCAGATTTCGGGGATTTTTGCTCAGTAATCAGATTATTCTGCAGAGCCACACTGTCAATCTGCCATCTCTCATTTTTCCACTGCTCTGGTGAGAGTACGCTGTGCGCGTTTTTGCTGCCGCTTCTTGCTGGAACTTTTTGTTTGTTTGTTTTGTTCTGTCGTGTTTCGCGTCTATTGTTTCATCTCCTCTCCTGCTCTTCCGGATACCTGACTTTACTGGATTATAGTTTGGACTTTACTGTTGTCATTTTACCGTGGATTATAACTCTGATTGGATAACCCGTACTCGTTTTTCTATCGTGGACAGTATTTTGGATGGTGGGGTACCCCCTGCCATCTAATTTGACTGATAAGGTCTCCATACTGCGTTGATCGTGCTCTATCAGCGACGTGAGTGCTGCGGCTCTCTTGCGTACTATTGCAAGAGAAGTGTGTTCTTCAATCGCCAGTGATGTTGTGCCTTCTCATCTAACCATGTCTATCACTGCTCGCAACGTTCCAGTACCTGCTCTGCTTAGAGTTATAACTCTGGGCTTATTATTCAGCTGCGTTGTTGATATGGCGCTCAACTACTCGCTATCTCAGCTGCGTAGCCTGAAATCGCACCCTCGT